CACACACACACACACACACACACACACACACACACACACACACACACACACACACACACACACACACACACACACACAATATAAAAGATATAACCTCCAGGTCTGAAAAGTGCCTTGAACCTGCATTCTTCCTGATGGACAGCAGGGGGCAGCCTCCCTGGTCCAAGAACAAGTGTGAATGTATAGCTCTATAGACTCGTGTTTGCTAATACCTCAGCAGCACCTTAATATTGAGTTTACTTCATGAACTATGGTTCCTTTTAGAGTGAAGTAGATGATAAAGCAGGTTAGGATTTAGGGCATGCCCACCTGGTGAATGACTGCCCTCTCACTGCCACGTTTCTCAGGCAGATCTCACTCATCGTTATCCAGTTTGAAAACACCAAGATGATGTGACGGTGGCTACCGCCGTCTTTTATATACAGTCTGTGAGCACACTACAAAATTATTCCTGGGACTTGTAGTTTTTAAGATATATTTAAGTATATATAAGCATACATAAGTAGTTGGATGAATCAGCTTTACTTTCAGGCACATGACATTTTCATCTATTTTCATCGCAAATTATTGTTTTTGTTTTTTTTTGTTAACCTCAAAGTAAGAAAGCATCTGTTAAAGCTTTAAACTCCCTGCTTGATGTTACTGAAATATTGTGAGACCAAGGATCATTCCCACAGGAGTGACACTTGTGCAGGATTGTTTTATGTAGTATTTCTTGTCAAGGAGAACAAGCGTAAATGCATGTGCTACCTCGATGTATGGTTTCCTAGCGTTGAAGTTTATTTATAGCCGGGCATATCGGTAATTCTGTGACCTGCATTTTAAAATTCCAGGAACAGAGATGGTAAACACATTGACGAGCTAAGTCGAGGAGGTCACAGAGTCCGTGTCTTGGAGTGCTGGACGAAGACTGTGTATAAAAGATGGGCTTAGCCGCTGACGCATCGGTCATCTTGGCATTTTGAGACTTCTTACTGACGATTTGTTATCCAATCAGGAAAAGTGCTCGCTGAGGTCACAGAGTAGGGCGGCCTGTTCAGAGACTCCAATACAAACTGGTCTCTTTGCAGCCGGAGAAGTCGTCTTTGCTGCCCAATCAAAAAGCGAGTTTCTCTCTATACTGTCTGTCAAATAATAAGACCTGCATTAAACAAGCAAAATAAAAATGTAACCAGATATTTGTGACATTTCAAAAGGAGAAATTAGTGAATCAAAGCTTTTTAAGAAGAGGTTGGTCTGATCATGACGTACCTGTATCACCTTTACACGTCCCTGAGTCGCGCTTTCGAGATGTTTTGTCAGTTTTTACAAGAAAGATTAATTATTAGCTTTCTGGGCTCACGTGCCTCTAAATGACTGTAGTGTTTCTGCTCAGGTGGAGCATTTGATCAGAGGTTTTACTCAAAGCTACTTCTCCAGTGGAGAAAGTACACTCATTTACTTGTTCCATGTTCAGAGGAAATTCAGCTGGGGGGGGCTTTCCTTTGTGTAATTGACCTCTCTAAACTTTAGCTAATTAGCTGTTGTGCGTTCCAGATTCAGCACATGTACCGCTGTGCCAGAGTGCAGGGTCTCGACACCAGCGAGGGTCTGCTGCTGTTTGGGAAGGAGCACTTCTACGTCATCGACGGCTACACCATGACCGTGTCCAGGGAGATCAGGGACATCGACACGCTGCCACCCAAGTAGGTTCACGCCTCTGTATCCGTCCCTCACCTGACGGGGGACGCGGGATCGGCACTTTCTTTCTCTGAATAAAGGATGACATCATTCCCGTGGAAGCTGCAGTGGAAATTTCTGCTGCTGGGATGATGTAATGCTGCCGATGGAGCATGCGCTGTGAAAGTCCGCAAAGCTTTTCTCATATTTATTGTTTTGTGCAACTTGCTCAGCCCGTTCCTTTGAGATGCTGCTGGAAAATAACCAAAAAAGGGAAAAAGGAGCAGATGTCTCCCAGACTTTGTGGTGTGTCCCTCGGGTTGTTTTGGTGTTTTTACCCCCCCCCCCCCCCCCTAAGCTTCCCCACTGTCCTGTACCAGCACAGAGCTGAAATCATACGCCAATTAGCTGATAATTTATTCAAGACACGCTCTTTTGTTAGCTGAATGCTTTTTTGATTTCAGCTCAACTTTGAAGTTTTTGGAGTGATTTAAAGATGCACTACCAGCTAGTTTGATCCATTACGGATGGATGTGTTTATTCATTCTCACCCATGTCACGGGAACGTACCCACCGCAAACAGGGGATTAAAATTTTGAGTGGATCTTCTCTTGAGTGGGTTGTTGTGTGTTTTTTCTCCAGTATGCACGAGGCCATCATCCCCAGAGGAGCGAGACAAGGACAGAGCCAGTTAAAGAGAACCTGCAGCATCTTTGCCTACGAAGACATTAAGGAGGTTCACAAGAGGCGCTACCTGCTGCAGGTCAGCATGCACGTGTCTCGCACACACACTGCATGCACCATTACATGCTTTCTTTTAATATAGGAACTGACAGGATAATTAAGTTGAGTAGTTTATAGGGAACTTACTTTGTTTTTCCTTTTTTCTGTCTTTTATACTATAACAGAGCTGATGCTTCTATTAAACATGGCTTTTCAAGGTTTTTTTCTACTCTTGGCTCTGTATGATGTCATTTAATAAGTGCAGGCAAACAGAAGGAATCTGGCTTAAAGGGAAAGTAGAAGGAGCTAAAGCGAGTTTATGGGCTGCACCAATGTCTGGTGTTAGATAAATTAGGATCATTTTGAACAGTGAATCATGCAGAACTACTCTCGGAGTCCAAAAGTAAAAATATGGAGCAGGAAATGATGATGATAGATCATCTGTAAACGTTTTGGGCTATTTATTTAAATTTTTTCCCGACTCTCATGTATGCCATCGTCTTCTTTCAGCCCATGGCGGTGGAAGTCTTTTCAGCGGATGGGAGAAACTACTTGCTAGCCTTCCAGAAAGGAGTTCGCAACAAGGTTTACCAAAGGTACTGAATACATATATAAATATAAATGCAGTTCCTGAGCAGCAGCTTCTTGACTCACATTTCAATCACAGAGTTTAATTAAACTTGTCATTTTGTGCTCTTTTCAACACTCACACGCTGCAAGTGATCATTTCTTACTGTTTTAGGAGTTGTTGTCAGGGTGGAGTTATTTTCAGTGATAATCTGGTTCTACTGGACAGCCGTGATCAGCTGTGATTCAGTCTGTTGTCGTGATCTCTGTTGAGGAGAAGGATTTTGCCGAGATTGATGTTGCTGCTCATATAAAGCTTTTTTTCTCTCCCTGTAATGCCGGTATATCACCGTTGTTGTCAGGTTGCGTGAGTCTCTGTGCGCTGTAAAGACATTAATAGGTGGTGTTTGATTCTTCCAGGTTCTTGGCGGTGGTGCCCTCGCTGGCTGACAGCTCCGAGTCTGTTTCAGGCCAGAGACCCAACACCAGCGTGGAACAAGGGTACATCCACCTTCACATCATATCATTTTTATAAATAATAGATTCTGACCTCTGTAGTTAAGTCTCAACACAATGACTCTACAAACGTAAAATCACGAGTGCATGATTAATAAAAGTCCACTGAGCTGTTTAAACGACTCATCCTCTCTGTCCTGGTTTGTGTCAGATCTGGACTTCTCAGCACGCTGGTTGGTGAGAAGTCAGTGACTCAGAGATGGGAGGTAAGAACCTGAATTTGTTAGTCTGACTTCAGATTTGAAGTAAAGCACACGGCTCAACAACATGTGTTTGTGTGCATTTGTTCTGTAGCGAGGAGAGATCAGTAACTTCCAGTACCTGATGCATCTGAACACCCTGGCCGGACGCTCCTACAACGACCTGATGCAGTATCCGGTGTTCCCCTGGATCCTGGCCGATTACGACTCAGAGGTGCCTGAAGATTTTATCTGCTGCTGTTTTAATGTTTCCGTGTCCACAACAGAAAATACCCCAGTTTTGATATGAATGCCACCGGGGGCAGTGCGGTGATTTCATGATGTTTGGGTTGCTTTTGGTCACCAGGAGCTGGACCTCACCAACCCAAAGACATTTCGTAACCTCGCCAAGCCGATGGGCGCACAGACTGACACCCGGCTAACGCAGTACAAGAAGCGGTACAAGGACTGGGAAGACCCCAACGGTAAGGAAAGGAGACCATCAGATAACGTTTCTCTGTGAGCAGATATGTGTGTTAATATCATCTACAGACTTTTAGTACCACAAACTCGCTATGTGGGTCCTCCTGCCTACAGGAGAGGCCCAGAAAAAACATGCAGAGTGAACTGAACCTGAGCTGTCGTCACCCACCCAGCAGACGGGTGGGTGACGACTGTCTCAGACCCAGTGGGATTAGACTGTAACCTGCCAGCTCCTGAATGTGTGATGCTTCCTGCACCAGCATATTTTTTGTTGGAGTCATTTATAACATTCATTTAGATTTATTTCTGTACTAAATATGAAATTAAAAAAAATACACGGTACTGGTCTATATCTTTAAGCTCTTTTTGCCTTGCCAGGTGAAACCCCGGCGTACCACTACGGCACTCACTACTCGTCAGCCATGATTGTGGCCTCCTACCTGGTCCGGATGGAGCCCTTCACACAGATTTTCCTCAGACTTCAGGTTTGACGAGTTTCGACTCTACTGACAGTTCAGCTTGAAAACTAAAACACGTAACACAACTCCAACCCTCTATTCCAGGAGGGGTTTTTAAAAGTTATATATAGTTGCATTTGATTTACTTATATTTTTTACATATTTTGCAGAATCAAGTCTTTCATTATAAGTTCTATTTTATTTGTTTAATTCAACTTTATTTCCAACTTTATATAGAAAAAGCTAAATGTGTTAGTTCCCCTCTTCTTGTTTAACTTGTTATGCCCCATAAAAGAGTAAGTCTGAAAACTCCAGAGGACAGTGAAACCACATTAATAACATAGTACTGGTATTGTTATTTTTTTGTTTGCTGGGCTCTCTTTGCATTTCCTGGGAGTTGCGCCTTCTCTACTTTTAACTCGTAGGAATAATTCTTTTTGGGGGCTAAAGTGTGTCTTTGTGTGAATAACAGGGAGGACACTTCGACCTGGCTGACAGGATGTTCCACAGCGTTCGTGAAGCCTGGCTCTCTGCTTCCAAACACAACATGGCCGACGTCAAGGAGCTCATCCCGGAGTTCTTCTATCTGCCCGAGTTCCTGCTAAACTCCAATAACTTTGACCTGGGTCAGTATCAGAGTCGCAGCTGATCGAAGCACTGTTTAAAAACTGACTGGGATCGTTCACTGCTTTGTTATTAATGCTTTTTCTTTTGCTTTTCATGCACCAGGTGCCAAGCAGAATGGGACCAAACTGGGTGACGTCATTCTCCCAACCTGGGCTAAGGGCGACCCCCGGGAGTTCATCAGAGTCCACAGAGAGGTAGGAGATCAGCTCTTCTTGGTTGGTTTTACTCTGAGTGATTTTGAATCCGCCCTCACGGTCGACGCGTCCTCTGTCCCGGCTGCAGGCGTTGGAGTGCGACTACGTATCGGCCCACCTCCACGAATGGATCGACCTGATTTTCGGCTACAAGCAGCAGGGCCCTCCGGCTGTGGAGGCGGTCAACGTCTTCCACCACCTCTTCTACGAGGGTCAGGTGGACATCTACAACATCAACGACCCGCTCAAAGAGACGGCCACCATCGGCTTCATCAACAACTTCGGACAAATCCCCAAACAGGTCAGACAGAAGCGTGTTCATTTTAATCTAGATACTCCACCCTTTTCTAAGGAGGGTGGATCCTCTTATTTTACCTGATCTGGTTCCTGTTACATTACAAACATTGATGCATTACAGACTCATTTAACGTGCTGTATACTACGGTTGGTTTCTTGCCTTTAACTGGGTTTGAGTAGATGTTGAAATCTCGCTGTCGAATCATTGGTCGTTGATGTTTGTGTTTCAGCTGTTCAAGAAGCCCCACCCTCCTAAACGGGTACGCAGTAAAGCCAACGGCGACGTTGCCGGCGTTCCTCCGAGCTCCAACAGCGACAAGATTTTCTTCCATCACTTGGACAATCTCAGACCTTCTCTTGCACCAGTTAAAGGTACGCACGCACATCATGCGGTCAATTAATTGCTCACAGTGTTGCTCAGTAAACAGGATGCATGCGCTACTGATTGCTGTGTAAACAAAGCTTCGTGGGGTCTGTTTGCGAATACAAGGTGTGTAACTACTTTAAATTCACACTTCTTCGTGCGTGCGCGTTGTTTTCCAGAGCTGAAAGACCCTGTGGGACAGATTGTGCCCACTGACAAGGGCATCCTCGCTGTAGAGCAAAACAAAGTTCTGGTTCCTCCCACCTGGAGCAAGACCTTTGCCTGGGGTTACGCCGATCTCAGCTGCCGCCTGGCTAACTATGACTCCGACAAGGTCAGTAGTGAGAAGTTTAAACTCCTCAAACACCTTTTTATCTCCAGGATGTAGTCTCTATGTGTGAGTGACCCCCATCCTTTTACAGATGTTGTGTTTGCCGGCTTCCTTTCTCGATAATTGTGGATTAAGTTCACCTAATTTAAAAATGAGCCACTGTACGTGTTTGCTTCTCGTTTCACCTTGAGGATTCCTAGTAAAGGTGGAAAAAAGTAAAGGCACCGTTTCCCCCTGCTGGTGTTTCACTAAAAATGCATTTTACATGAGATCTGCAGCCATTAAAGAAGCTTTTAAATCACATCTGATTTGCACTGTATATATTCTGTTTTCCTGCTGGCAGCTAGAAAGAAGACGTTCTTCAAGCTGAAACAGATTTAGATTTTAATTTGGTGACACTTTCTCATGCTCAGAAGCACCTTTTCATGTCTGACCCCCTCTAAGGTCAGTCTGGGGTTTGCAGCTGGTTTTCTCCTGCCTGTTTTCTCAGTTTGTTGCCTCGTTGCTGCGTGTCTGCAAGAGTATTTGTCTAGACCTCAGACGGTGTCGTGATAGATAATTGGGAGGTGTCCTTCCTCTCTTACAGCCGCCTACATCATTACAAATACTCAGCTTCACCTGACTCAATTGATGCCTCTTGTTTAAATGCATCAGAATGAATAACCAATGAATGGAAAGCTTGAAGATAACAGTCCCGAGAACAGAAGCTGTTACTGTCGTGGATCTTTTCAGTTTTCCACAAACGGATTTGAATGTTCCATCTTGTTTCAGGCGCTGGTGGTGTACGAGTGTCTGTCAGAGTGGGGCCAGATCTTCTGTGCCATATGTCCAAACCCAAAGCTGGTTATCACCGGCGGCACCAGCACCGCCATCTGTGTGTGGGAGACGGGAACCTCAAAGGAGAGGGCAAAGTCACTTACGCTCAAACAGGTAAATGAACACAAAGAGACGCAGTGCAGGTTCGTGCAGCAGCTGCGCTTCAGTCATCAAACTTTAAATTATCCTAAAGCAGAAAACATTTATAGAAACCTGGCAGCACTCTCAACTGTGCGAGGTCCAACCAGTCAGAAGGCTAGGTCAAAGCTGAACACGGTGTGCTTCAGAGGAAGGATAGAGGACTGTTTCTCCTGCGACTGCCAAAGTTCATCAATGACAGCTTAATCCTTGTAGGGTTTAATTAGTTTGACCCATGAAATTAGTTTGATGGGTTCGTGTTTCTGCTGAGTTCATTCAGCACAGACTTTAATCTCGCCGCACACTAATGACACGAGGAAATCCTGCATGTTAAGGTGTTTAAGTTTCTTGATGCCATTGCGTCTCCCGTGTCGTGTGATATCTTAGGCGCTGCTTGGCCACACGGACGCCGTGACGTGTCTGACGGCGTCTTCGGCGTACCACATTGTCGTCAGCGGCTCACGGGATCGAACTTGCATCATCTGGGACCTCAACAAGCTCTCCTTCGTCACGCAGCTCAGGGGGCACCGAGCGCCCGTCTCGGCTCTGTGCATCAATGAGCTGACGGCAAGTTTGTCCTCCGTCACACGTGGAACAGAGAAACTGTGGGTGTAGTTTGGATCGTTTACGACACGACGTGTGTTTGTGTTTGCACAGGGGGACATCGTGTCCTGCGCGGGCACCTACATTCACGTGTGGAGCATCAACGGCAGCCCCATCGCCAGCGCCAACACCTTCACTGGCCGCAGCCAGCAGATCCTCTGCTGCTGCGTGTCGGAGATGAACGAGTGGGACACGCAGAACGTCATTGTCACCGGGCACTCAGACGGCGTTGTGAGGGTGAGCTCGCGTGGATACACATCCCTCTTTAAGTTTATTAGTCGCTTGTTACAACTCAAACACGTGTTTTCTGTGCTGTTATATAAATGAGTAACAGTCGAGTATTATAACGACAGAACGCTTGTCATTTTTTTCACTTTTTAACTCTAAAAATATTAAATATTGTCTGTGTTGTTGTGTAAACACTTACACTATTGTGTACTTCACACACATGAAGAGATGCCAAACTGCCTTTCATTGTTTTTGCAACAATGACAATAAAGAGCTATTCTATTTTATTCTATTCTATAAAAGTATTCCTTGTGCTAAATCTTACAGTTTTGGAGAATGGAGTTCCTCCAGGTACCAGAAACACCTGCTCCTGAGCCTGTAGAGCCAGATGTGCCTGACTGCTGCGCTGACGAGAAGATTGGTGAGTCCTAATAGAAATAAATGAGCTCATTGGAGCTGCTAGATCGAGTCATCGGAACACAAATCACACAATGCATGTCACTATAAAAAAATTGTAGAAAGGTGCAAACTTGTCTTGGTCTCACAGAGGGCGGTGAGAGTCACAATGGTGATGATGACAGCAGTGAGTCGGATGCAGACGAGCCCAGTCTGAGCCAAGAGCCCAGAGCGCCACGCAACCCCTCGACAGGTGGAGGCAGCCAGCCGGGTAGCACCGTCCACAGACCCAGAGGTACTTAGATATAAGTTCGTGTTTATGGGGCGATCGTGACGATCGCTCAAGAGTTGGGAGTTCGCCTTGTAATCGGAAGGTTGCCGGTTCGAGCCCCGGCTCGGACAGTCTCGGTCGTTGTGTCCTTGGGCAAGACACTTCACCCGTTGCCTACTGGTGGTGGCCAGAGGGCCCGGTGGCGCCAGTCAGTGCGCCCCAGGGAGGCTGTGGCTACAATGTAGCTTGCCATCACCAGTGTGTGAATGTGTGGATGACAGGTTGTGTAGAGCAATTTTTTTACACACCACTTCAGCCAAAGAACCAATGAGCTTTTGCGATGCTGAGCTGTCTGTCATCCATTTGTCCGTCCGCAAGAATTGCTACTCTTCCTGCAGTATTTTACAGAAGGTCATTCAACAAACACACACTGATCACCTAATGGGTCGTTGTGCTCAAAGTCAAGGTCACAATTGTCATTTTACCGACAATAACCTGTGAATTTTGATGGGCGTCAGCTGGATGAGCTACTGTGCTAATAACATTCTGGTTTTTAGATGGAAGGACCAGCTGTGCATGGCCCCAAAACATGAGAAAGGTCTTTACATCTCTGTAGATGAGGAAGAAAGCTGGATTAGTACAGCTCCCAGCTGGTGAACAAACCTCCCTGAGCACAGACCAGCTGTGTTAAAATCTGAATGAGCACACATTCAGATCCAGAACTAACACTAAAATTATCTTACGTGTAAGCAAAGCACAACACATGTGCACTTGTTTGCTACTGGAGTGAACAGCTCGCACTATTGTTAAAGGCGTAGCAGCGTTTTGCCTTCCATTGTCTATGTCAGTCAGACTGAAATCAGTCAATGAGGACATTCAGATTGAAAGATATCTCGGTTTCTGTTGTCAGGCAAGAGCAAAAAACTAAAACTAAAATCTTATCATCGGTGTCAGCTTTGACTTTGGCGTTAGTATAAAATGTTCCCTTGTTTATGTCTGTGTCAGCTGAACTGTGGTGAGCAGCATGTGCTGCGTTGCTCTCATTAGCTGCTGCGTTGCTCTCATTAGCTGCTGCGCTCTGATGCTCACTTCCTGAAGAGCGTGAGATCATGAGGCTGAAACATCGAATCCAGAATCTCTGGTCATAGAAATAGAGCAATAATACGACCCCTGTAGATTACCAACACTGATGTTTGTTTTTACTTGTTAATATAAGAACCTTTGTTTGATATAAGATATTCTTCCTGTTAATTTTCCATTGATTAATACCCTTAAGGTCCCTCGGCCCGAGCAGGAGCATCTTGGTCGATGGACAGCGGCTCTGACGATTCTCACCGCTGGTCAGACACCCTCAGCATCGACGAGAAGGACGGATTCGTGTTTGTAAATTACTCTGAGGGCCAAACTAAAGGCGCTCACCCAGCTCACTCAGGCCAGGGCTCAGTGCCTCAGCCGCTGCATCCGTCCACCATGGAGGCACGGACATATAACCAGCTCAGGGCAGGTGGGTGTCCAGCAGCTGCAAAAACCATGCTGTGTTTTCATGTTCTAAGTGATTATTCTGCCATTGAAGGGGAGACAACAAATAGATAGGATTAGTCTGCTGATCTAATGACTCACGTTAAAATGTTGCTAGTTAAGTGTTTGTTTTTGTGCGTTCACAGGCTACAGATGGGAGCGCCAGCTGGTCTTCCGGAGTAAGCTCACCATGCACACGGCTTTTGATCGCAAGGACAACGCTCACCCAGCCGAGATCACCTCCCTCGCCATCTCCAAGTAAGAGAGCCGGGTCGAACCAAACCGACAAACAGGAAATGAGTTTCTTTTTGTAAACGCTCGTATTCCTTTGGCACATCTGAAGAACGTCTTGTTTTGAAAATATATTATTCAGTCCAAGCAAATATTTTTTTAAAATATGATATGTAATTGTTTTGTTTTTCTCTTTCTTCCCTCCCGCTTTGGGCTTTCCTCTCTCCAGGGACCACAGTAAAATCCTGGTAGGTGACGGCCGTGGCAGAGTGTTTAGCTGGTCGGTCAGCGACCAGCCCGGCCGTTCGGCAGCAGACCACTGGGTGAAGGACGAGGTGGTGGACAGCTGCTCCGGCTGCACGGTTCGCTTCTCGCTTACTGAGCGACGCCACCATTGTAGGAACTGCGGACAGCTCTTCTGCCAGAAGTAAGATCATTACTCTGCAGTTTTTCCACCTAAGCATGCTTTTATATGTCATTGTCATACCAGAAAGTGTCAGAACAAAATACCATTATAGGTATAAATAAGTATATCCAGAATCAATGTAAGTTTGATGCAAAATGAACCATTACCATTTCTTCTGGTACCAGTACCAGTACATAAATTCTAATTTAAGTTCTTGAAGTTTTAATGGAAGTAACAGTGCTTACATGCTTTAACCCACACAGGTTTTTTTTTATTGCACTTCATTTTTTTTACCTCAGCCTTGTCAGATTTTGGCTCTGGTGTTCCTCAAGGCTCGATCTGGGGTCCTTTGTGTGTTTTTGCTGTGCACGCTACCATTGCACAGCAACAGGCGAACGGTCTTCATTTCCATTTTGCAGCTCACTTTTTCCAAGTTTCACTATCTCCAGCAATCACCCGCTGGAGGTTGCCAAAGGATTGCTGACAAGTCTCTGGGCCTCTCTGAGGTTTCTGAGATCTTATGCAAATAAAATATTTCATTCTCTGATTTTGTGTGAGTTTAAAAAAAAATATTGGGGTTGTTTGTTTGTTTCTAACGGTTTAAATCGTGGCTCACGTCAGTGAATGTGTTAAAATACTCAGCATCATCTTCATTTCTCTTCTGCACTGTGAAAGAAATTCCCCCTTATCTCCCCCCGTGTCACAGGTGCAGTCGCTTCCAATCGGAGATCAAACGGCTGAAGATCTCGTCACCTGTGCGTGTTTGTCAGAACTGTTATTACAACCTCCAGCATGAGCGAAGCGTCGAGGACGGCTGCAGAAACTGAGCTCCACGTCCACCCGCCGCCAGCCCCAAAACAAGCCCCTCCTGAGGACCCGGGAAGCATTTCATTCCTCTATCCGACTTCCCTCTGCATCTCCCGAAACTCCTTCCCCTTTAAACCCTCAGTAACCACGTGCACTGTACCGCACTGACAGGGTGTCGCAGGAGGGAGCGACTCAAGTACGGCGGCGGAGCTCAGCAAAGGAGAACGGATGTGAACGAGGACAACGGGTCACAAAGAACATGGAAAGAAACTCAGTCCCCACTTTTACCACCGGCACTCACCTGGAGCGGAGGGAAAAAACGCAGCACGCACGAATCAGTCATCCACCATCTTTGCTTAGAGATCGAGAAACAGGCAAAACTCCTTCAGCTTTCACAGCAGGATGATAAAAGACAAAAACTTGTTGATAGTGTAAATAGGTATCACGGCCTTTTTAACTCTAAAAGGAGCAAACACAGAACAAAAGATAAGGTCAATGAAGTAAAAAGAAATGCCTGTAACATAGCGTTGTGACTAACCACTCCTGGCTTTAAAAAAACAGAAAAACGATTGTGTGTAGTCTGCGTCACGAGTCACAGCGAGAGTAACACGGAGGGAGGGAGATGAATGTCCATAATTAATGTCTCTGGGTTGACCGTACTAGTGGGTCTAGTTATGCAAAATGACTTCTTTATAATTTCCCGATCGTTTTGTTGTTTACAGACCTGTGATTTATTCTGAGTGTCAAACCGTCGCCACGCGGACAGAGAGGTTGACTCTCTGATTGTCGTTTCCTCTTTTTTATTGCCAAACTGTTTTCTCGTGTCAGTTATGATGTTTAATTTTTAACATGTCATCTGTTCAGTCCTTTTTTCCCATTTGGAGATTTTTTATTTTATTTTAGTTACTGCTGCTTTCTGAGGACTACAAACTTTATCGTGTTCAGTTTGACTTTGATCTTTCTTGTTAGAACCATATCACTCCTTTCATTTTGTGGTTCCTTCTGCATCATTATAATTTGTTATTAAGAGAAAGAAAAAAATCGGGTTCATCTTGTGTAAAAAGGTTAAAAGTAACGCACATGCGTCCCGTAACTGCACATTTAGCGTCCATCGTGTCCTTTCTTTTTTGACCGTACAGCTTTAAAGCAGCTTCTTGAATGCACACTAAAAAGGGACTTCCTCATGAACTGTGTTTTGTTTTTTTATTTATAGTGTTGGTTTCTATTGAGGATTTGCTGGATTTTTACTCCCCTGTGGCATTATCACAGCAGCTCTCAACACTCGTTATCCTCACTTGCTGGAGCTGCAGCCAAGCACCTTTTTAAAGAGATGTTTCAGAGGATATGTGGACGTTGGAGGAGGTGTAAATAGTCACGTAGGCCGTTGGACTTTTAATAAATCTTGGCGTGTTTTGTCTTTAAAGGTAAAGACTAGGCCAGACAGACTTGCAGAGTATTCTTGCTTCGCTTTTCTTTACCATATTTTACAGTTGGGTAAAGCTGCAGGAGAGCGAGTCTGTAGGTTTCTTTTCCTACCGTTATATCAGTGCTGTGACTTCATATTCCATCCTTGTTGCTCCTGCGGTGGATTTTGATGTGACACTTTAGACTGAGAGCATAAAATGAACCTCGTGCCCTTCAGTTCTTGACATTAATAAACCTTTTGACTTGATCTAACTTGATTGTAGAGTTGATTAATTTAATGTTTTTCAGACGTCTAAATTCATTTGCAGCTTAACTGTTTAAATGTAAAAGGACTTGGATTGTTGCACTAACATAACACGGGACAAACTCAAACCTATGGGGTGTCATTTGTGCAATCAGATTAGTGACCGTCACTTTAACAGTGACCAAAGAACCCCAATAATCAGATGTGACTCCCTGTGAGCAAGAACTTGGCGAAAGTGGAAAGGAAAAACTCCCTTTTACCGGAAGAACCCTTCAGCAGAACCAGGCTCAGGGAGCAGCGACCGTTATCTTATTACTTGAGACCAGAAATTAAAATGACTTGATTCTTCATTTCATCTGAAAAGGCAGAATGTGAAGTACTCAAAGGAGTTCAAACAGTATAAAAACACGTTTCTCTGCCCCGCTGAGACAGTGATATCAGAGGTTTTATCTGCTTTCATGTTGTTGAATGTAACTTGATCTTTTGTCAACACAAATCCATGTTTGGCTCTTTCTGCGTTGAAGACCGCACATCTCCTCTCCCCTCACTCGGTTTGTGGTTCTGTGGGCAAACTGTGCATTCAAGAGCTGCTTTCTTTCTTTCTTTGTACGTCCCACAAGTCTTCAGGCATTTAATGTTCACCCTCACCGCTCCTTGTAATAATAATAATATGCACTCATGTTATTGTCCTCCTTTATATCATTCTGCCTTTCTGTACTGTAACTTAGCGTGCAATCATGCCATCCAGCTGAAACGGCCGAGTCGGCTTCTATCAATCGAGGATTCCTTTTGCACCTTCACGTGTACAAAAAGAGGAAAAAAAACAGTCATGTTTTTATCGAATGCAGATTTTCGTTTTAACTGAAAGGTGCATTTCACAGCGGATAAATGAACTGTACAAAGTATTTATGCAATTATAACTGGGTTTAGATTTTCTTTTATATATAATTATTGTGATTTCAGCAAGTTTTGTTACTTGTTGCATGTCTATTAACACAGCTGACTTTCTGTGTCAGTGCATTGTACATGTTTGGCATTAGATTATCTCTCTTTTTTGCTGGATTTATTCTTTTTTTTGTTTTTCTTTGAGGCATTGTTTGACGGGTCATACCGAGCGACAGGTTTGTGTACAAAGCCGCAGATCATGACCCCGACTCTGGGTGGACTTTTGTACTCTTTATGGGGGAAAAAATAATTAAGGATTAATCGAAAGCAAAAAAAGAAAGGAAAAAAAAAAAAGGAGAAATCTGGATTATTTTGGTGGTCTTGTATTAGACTGCGTTACTACAGTATCTGGTGTGCAATCTGTAATAGCTGAATGTTCCTTGTATATTTGTGTTCACTACATCCTACGAGAGAAAAAACCCACAGTAGAGTAACCTCCCCGTCCCAAAATGTTACAATAATGCAATAGATCTGGTACTTATTCTTTTTCATTTCATTTCAATAAAAAATTGCTGTTTCCCACCAAAGGCATTTGCTTCGTTTCTAAGTTACAGCAACGTCTGAGCTTCTTAACATTTAAAAGATTTAATGACCCTACGCATCCATGACACGCTACTTTCACAGAGGTTAGACAGATCAGTCAAGTTTTTCTTTTTCTACTTTTGGTTCTGTGTGATGTCAGAGGGAGAGGATATGCCTAATATGGTCATGTATTAGGCTACGTTCACACTGCAGGTCTTAAAGCTCAATTCCGATTTTTTGATCAAATCCGATTTTTTTGTCTGCTTGTTCACACTACAAATAAAATGTGACAGCAAACGCGCTCTAGTGTGAACGCTCAAAGCGGCCGCATGCGCAAAAGAAGACGTCACACACAACGCACTCCGTTTAGACCCAGAGCAACAGTATTGTTTGACTGATGGCCCTTAATATAAAGACTTGTTTCAGACTTTATGTTTCCCAATTTTGCTTTAAGTTATAAAGTTATTTTGTTATTTACATTTGGCCTAATAATGACCCTTATTGCTGTTTTAGAGGAGCGGTGCTTCAAAGGATAGTTGCAGATTTCTGTCAGAATCTGCAGATTATACAGTACAAATAAAATGTTCACGTTTCTCCAACGTTGTCTTCCCAACACTTTCACTAACATCTACACTGGATGGCCAGGAAGCGTTCACGATGTCTTCTCCGGCGCTGATAATTGGCGTCTGTCTTGTGTCAGTGATGTAAAAGACGGATTTAATGCGACAGGACCGTTCAAACAGCAGTCGCTTTCTAAAACATCAGATATGTATCGGATTCAGTACCAAATACCAAAGTGACCCAGATCGGATTTGAAAATACCGGATTTGTGCCGTTCACACTGTCATACCATGATCGGATATGGGTCGCATAGGGTCAAAAAAGTCGGATTTGATGCGCTTTCGCCTGCAGTGTGAACGTAGCCTTAGAGAGCCAGTGTGAGCCAAATCCTGGACAGGAGAAACTGAAAAAAATTCCCATGATACACTGAGTGCTTGTGTTTACTCCCAGCCTTTCACTCCTGCTGTGTTTATGTGCTGCCGTGTTTTTTCCAGTTCTGTTTACTCTCCTTTAATTTGTGTTTTGTCCGGTCTGATGTCAAAGGTCGCCCCATGCTTCTTTTCTCTTCTCAGTCCCCAGGAACAGCAAACAGCAGTGCCTGCCTGAGCTATGTTCATTTCCTCTTGGTGAGGTCTTTTCCTGTTCTGGAAAAGAGTTCTTCTTCCTTCCCGCTGTTGCCAAGTGCTGCTCATAAACTAAGAACTAAAACTAAGTTGGTAGAAAAAATACATATGAACTAGACTTGCGACTAGATGACTTTTAGTCTTTGCAATTTGGTCACATTTGTCAGCAGAGCTGGCACTCAGAAGCTTTGATGCAGAGCTTTATTAAGTCTACGTGACTGTCAGTTGAGTCTTGTATTGCTATACTGCACTCTCCTGAACCTGATAAATAGCACCTAGAATAAAGGAAGGAATAAATAAGGTCAAAGTAACAGTGAAATAATAAATGATTCAATGTGATCAGATTATTTGACTTTGCTAATGGTTATTGTTATTCCTGTTAAGAATCTGAAGTAATTAAACAGCCATATGGTTGTAAATGTACTCACTATTGCCTTTTTTCCCTCTTCTGGCCCATTTTGAATCATGATCTTGGCCCATATCTTGTAAATAATTTAAAAGAAATTCATTTTCAAAATTAAGCTGCTGATGAAGCTTCAAGTTCAACAAATAAAACATCAGTAGAGCAAAAATAAATTAATGGCATCTCTTAATTACGTAATTTTCTGCTTGTGATGATAAGAATTGTGATTAAAGGATTGGGAAGCGCATTAGAGTTTTAATACATGTTAAAATATAGAAAGTAAACGTGCTGTTGTGATCTGGTGCTAAAACGGTGACCTGAGTGGGACTGAGGGAGTGAAACTAACTTGATTTGTTCGGGATAACAACGAGACTAAACAGGACTGACTGCGGTGCTGAGCTTTATTTTACTGAAATCGGTGATTGGCGGAAAAAAATGTTTCTTTTAGCGAACCAACAGCACTTTAAAATTACTTTTTTTTAAAAAGGGATTTGTGTTTAAATATTTGTTTTAAGTTGTGCCGAGTGCATTTAGTGAACTGAGCAGAGGAAATAACACCAGCGGGGGTCTCCACAAAAATAGTGCAGGCAGGGGTGTGTCTAAGTGAGGACCCCGGTGCTCACTGGTCGTAGATTACCGCAGCATGTGGCAGAGCTGGTCAGCCCGGTATGGACTGACTGAGAGAGAGAGAGAAAGAGAGCGTGCGGCACCGCAGCAGACCTGTGTAAAGGCAGACAAACGCACAACGGAAGTCTCGGTGCTTTTACTTCAAAATAAAGGCTCGACTTTAAATGAGCGTCACCTACAGGCTTTGTGTGAGGGTTTTTATACTTCTCCGAGGTTTGACTTCAGCTAATATTTGTACTACTAGGATTTCTCCAGGGGTAAACATGAAATGCAGGGTGTAGGCTTGGTTTACTTTGGAGTCTGCTTATCTTTTTCTTGAACACCCATAAAGTTTCCATAGGTTTCTGCAGGTAATTCTATATAATCCATGGAGTGCTTTGAGTGCTCAAGTTGACTGTAAATATGATATTTAATTTCATTAAAGAAAAAAAAAAGAGTTTTGGACAATCTTTTTGATCTGTGCTTCTAAAGTGAGCTCTGAAGTTAAAAAATGAGGGTCTTTGACTAGAAATAGATCCAGTATAAAAACAACAGTTTGGGCAGATCTGTGTTGGGTGAACTCATGTTGACATAACAGAAGACCGAAAGTCCAAAGAAAAATACAAAAATATCTGGAAGAAGAGGCACAAGAAAGGAAGAGAAGGACCAGTGGCTTAAGGAGCAGATGTGGAAGATAAAGTCTAAAGTGGTCCCGGTGTTTACAGCAGCATTAGGAGCTGCAGTGGCTCCAGCAGATTCCAGGCACAGAACTTCTCTGCACAGAAGAGTGGGAACTGTGCAGAATCATCAAACCCCTGCTAGTAGAGGAACCGAGCTTGAGGATCACAAACATAAACTCCAAGGAGGGAAAGAGAGCTTGTAGGGTAACATGTGACTTTAAACTGACTGTAGGTGTAAATGTGAGTGTAAATGATTTCTCTCTGTGTTAGCCCTGTGACAGACCGGTAACCTTTCTACCTGTGACAGTCAGCAGCTCCAGCCCAACTCTTAATTGAATGAATGGAAGAAAATGGATATATAGGATTAAAAAAATGAAAATCTACAACATTAAGATGTTCGGATATGTTTTTATATTCTTTAACCTTTATTGAGCAAAACTTGAGCATCTCTTAGGAAGTCTGCACACGCCGACCAACAGGACTCTGCGTCAAACCATTAAAGGGCTTAAATTTCCAAAGCAAACATCTTAACAGGCGTAAACCAAGAAAATTACATTTTAAGTAGACCTTTTATTTTGAAAGTCCCTACAGAAAGTTGTCTGTCCTTGTTCCGTGAGCTTGTCGGCGGTAGGAGGAGAACAGGGATTGCGGTCATAAACAAACACACGCAGTGGAGTCGGTAGTGTCTGTGGGGCTGTGCAGCAGCACTGGCTGACTTTCAGGGAAGCTGACCTTCTCGACCGGCATCGAGAAATCAGACCGGCTGAAAAAACCCGAACACGAAGAGCGGATTTTCTCCCACTCTCCCTCCCTCCCCTCGGAGTCGGCTTATGTGACACATTCACGTCCCGGCGGAGAAACGAGAGAAATATGACGGAGCTGAGGAAGCGAGGCGGAGGCGGAGCAGACCCTGACAGCGCCGATAATATCAGCGACAAGGTAAGGTGCACCTGAGAGCGTGAAAAGACACCATTATCCGTGCGAGACCTCGCCCTGGAAACGAGTCCGGCAGGTTGTCGGAGGCTGAGCCGGGCCGGCCGGGTTGTCAGGTTAGCAGGGGAGCTACATAAGCTAGTTAGTTAGCCGCTTGGCTGCTGCCCGGTAATCCCGAAACAACCGAGACACGGTCACGGAAACGGCTCTTTGAAACCACCGTTTGCCTTTTCGGTGTGAGCTCCTCGTCCTTTTCAGTGGCTGTCAGCGGGACAATTTCACAGTGTCACCGTGACACAGACTCATCAATGTCACTCCTGCAGGCTGAAAGTTGGATTTGGATAATTACATTACAGTAAACAAACACGCAGAGATCGGAGGGCCTTTAAGCTTCAGTTTACTTTGCTACTCAACACGAGTGATTTTAAAGATTGTTTTGCAGTGATTTGACGTTCAGCTTGTTTATATTCATCATGTGATGTGATGGCTCCACTGATAAAAAAAAAAAAATCCTATTATATAAACTATACTGTAGAGTACTAGAAAAATAGATTTCTCCATTATTGATCATCCTACCTGAGGTGTCCTCACTCACTTGGTTTGTGGCTTTACTACCAAGTAGTTTGCTTCTGCCGCAAATCCCTTAAAGTAGAATGAATTAGAATTTGAGGACAATGTGAAATTAATCTTTAAAAATAATTCTGACCTGCTCAAAATTAAGGCAGCACTTACACTGTAACACACAGCCGTTCAAACTTCAGAGATATCAGTGCAGTTAGGAAGACCAAGCGGTTGTGAATCAATTTCAGGTGCAGTGGTTTTGCAGATCATTGCTCTCTCTTCTCAGTCCTCCTGACTTTTTTTAGTGTCCTTGTCCTTGCTTGTATCTTGAGACCGTAGCTGCAGCCCATTCATGTTGCACAGGTAGTCCAGGATGTGAACGGAGCTGCAGAAGAGTTTCATCCCAGCTGAAACAGAGGAGCAGTGCAGAATGAGGTGTCTGCTTTACAACAACTCGCCTCTTTCAGAAAGCGTGCCCTCACAGCTTGCAGGATATCCAATATCAGAAAAAGAGAGTCAGTCAAGGACTGTGTTTATGCTTCATCAGTGCCAGTGTGTGCACATTTTAGTCAAGGATCAACTCTTTTAAATATTTATCTTTGTTTATTATGAATGGAGAATTTCTTGGTGTTT